GCTCACTGACGCCAAGAAAAGTGCAGCCACGAACAACATTGACATCTATAAATACAAAATTAAACTTTAATATGTTTTTTGTTGACTACACATTTTTTAATATTTGAATTAAAAAAATGAAATTACGTTGCTTTTTTAAAAACTCTGCTACAATTGCGCTTCTGTAGCAATTTTGTGTTATAAGCATTAACTAAAATAATCTTCATAATACACAAATCTATTCGAACGTTAGAACCGTGAGTTACGAAGAATTTCAAACATGGTACAAAAATTATTCTTTACAAACTAATAAAGTACCTAAGACCAAATAATAAAAGTTCTTCAAAACTCAACAAAACTTCTGAATTCCGATATTTCTTACAAGAACGGTTACACGATTTAACTAAAAAAATATTTTAATAGTTTTAAACTTCGTTAGAGTGGGCTTTATTTTTCAAAATTAACAACCTTTTATCTTTAACAGAAATGAAAACTTATAAAGTTTGCATCGGAATTAATGAATGAAAAAAGATGCTTAAAACATTAATATAAGATCGGCGAATGTATTACTTTTTGATATACTTAAAATGATTAAGTAAAGACACATTTTTTTATTGTTTATTTAAAAAAAACTTACCAGTTTGTACATGATGATATATCTCCAAGGATCGGTGGCAACGGACAACAAAACTCTGTCTAGATACAACGCTAGATGGAAATGGTGTCGATCGCTGGCTAACACGATATTGATCCGATCCCGTCCTGTCGTATCTTATATAGCTACACCTGACGTCCCGTTCGTGCTCAGAAACATTAATACGCCCGCCTTCAGCGTTCAATGATACCGGACATAATGTTCAAACATACAATGTCGCATTAACGTTAATAGTACTACGTCATGCCCATATGGAACCCGGATCGAGTCGTGACTGTAGCCACGCGCACGTCGCTACGCTGTAGATTGTCAAAAACAAGGATAATATCCAATTGTTCCTCGCCTTTGTATTTGATAGCATAAAAAACAACCAACACAGTACATCCAATAAGTTACTTAATACATAATTTTCAAACAAGATATTTTGTTTGAAAATTGTTTTCGCTCAGTAGTAGCTTGGTAGAATTAATTGGCATAACTTAAAGAAAACTTTGAAACTCAAGTTAGCTTATTGACCATATTTGTTCTTAGTCATGTTTGTTATTGTTGTATCGTCAGATAAGAAACAAGATCACTACAGCTTATGTATTGTAGATATTTAATGAAAAAACTGCACAATGGTATAGCTGGAAGTTTCGAGAACCAAAACATGCTGATCTTTGTGTCTTTTGCCATTCAATGTTGACCTTGACATCACTACAATGCATTTAAATTTAAAATATACAATCGAATTCTTTACATTTCAAATATACATGTTTAACTGATAATACTAGCGACTTGCGAATACAGGTTTTGTAACCACAGAAATCTTTGATTATTTACAGTTTACAGTTTTAAAGTTTTTGGTAAAACAGTACTGATCGGTTATGTTTGTTTTATTGTATGGATCGTCAATTTTAATATTTAACCTATTTCTGAATATGTAGTAAGAACAGCTACAGAGGACTTTGTTGTTTAGAGATTAATCAAATTCCATGGAACATAGTCATAACTTCTTCGATTATCAAATTATATAATGCCTTTCGCCCGCGTGGAATTACAAAGAAACAAATGTGAATAGCTTGTGTTCTTCCAGATTATCCTCTACATCTATGCCCAATTTCATCGAAGTCCGCTTAGCCGTTTAGGCTACAAACTCTAACATCCATCCATCCATCTAAACTTTCACATTTTTAATATTAATAAGATGGATATAGAATTCTTGTCTTAAATAATTTATTCCATGTTAGTCGTTATCCAATTCTATTACTGGTTCAGTTAAGAGAGTCACTTTTCTAAATTCACTTCTAACCCTCTCGTAATCAGGAAGCCATACAAAGGTGAGTAAATTACTTTTTGACAAGTATGGATTCTTCAATTTGTATTTTCCGTTATATTGAAATAAAAATAAAGTTTTGAAAAGTTGGAATCGTTTTATTTTTAAGGCAGCGAGGCTGTGAATGTTATTGTACAACATGATTAATGAAAACAAGATTAAGCGACACAGGGATCGTCAAGATTTTGTTTTCGAAAGAGTCGAACCCAGTACTTATCATGAACAAGATACATTATACCGCTAGATCACGAAGTATTCTAATATAAATGTTAGAACGATAAGCGCAGCGAATATTACACTCTAAAATTAAATTAGTTACCTATTCTCTTTTATTATTTAACGATCCATTTTTTGCTCGCGTAATTTAAGTTTTATCGAGTTAACTAATTTAACATTTTTGAAGTGTATTTTTAAAATTATCAATTTTCCTATAAATTCAATAGTAACTTAAAAATTAAGACTTATGTCAACTTGGTTTTCCTTTCGTATTATTTATAAGGTTTGTTTGATTCTGGGAACAATATTATAATATTGATATTGCTAAATCAGTCACGTGCAAGTTGCGTCAGTATTGAATTTGAATGTCTGTACATAAGTTTTCTTATTATTTATTGACTAACTTTACTTTGTTACAATAACACATTTCTAAATTATATTCAATGCAAGTCTAAAGTACAGATGCTCGAATTACTTGTTATAAAGATGACATTTTATGTGATCATTTCGATGCATTCAATAAATTAAAGTAAAGAAAGTGAACACATATAAAATAAAAGCTGTTCAAGAGTAAATCTTTGTCGTAAAGATTTTTGTACTTTTAACTGTTTCGGTAAACTTAGTCATTTTTACTGGGAATAATAAAAAAAGCAATTTTTATAGTAAAATATTTATTACTCATCGTCGAGTTTCTGTCGTATGTTCCGTTTTTGGACGTTAAGTTTTCTCTTCTTGAAGTCTACTGGTCCGTCGCCGAGGGAGTCGACGCGTTTCTCCTTGAACTGTACGACTTCGGGCAGCACGAGTACGGGCGGCGGCGGCTTCTGCTTACCTGACTTCGGCAGCTGCAAGTCTATGCTTTCTTGACACCTGTCAAACCAATATGGAAATGTTACAATATTTGGGTCATTGATTTGCATTATTATTCGCTTGTGCATTGCCTAACGATGTGTTGAAGTATGGATAGGTGCATGTTATTTCAAGTTTTATCTTATTTAAATAAAAAATTGAAACCATAGACAAGCAACAATTTATGCTAAAACTCGTAAATTCCGAAATATCTGTGGTCAAACATGTTTTTTTACAAAACTAAATAATATTGGTTAACAATATCACCTTACTTAGTAACTGTACAATTTTCCCAAAATAATTAAAAAGACCTATATGGTTGCATGTACTAGAAGGATGTGCATATCCTTAATTTAGGCTTTTTATATAAACTAAGACTATTCTGTATATTTTGTGAATAAATGTGGCATTTGATAACTGGGTAACATTATTGTAAGCCATCCTACACAAGCTAAACAAGAAACATTTCTGGTTTTTTATGTTAATACAACGATTTCACTTATTCACTTTTACAGCAAATATGCAATTTATAGCTACATTAGTAGATTAAACAACAAACTCATCCACAACAGGTTTCCATGATCCATATGGATTGGTTGGACGAGACGGCCCATACTGATCATCGCTATTCCTAGGCTTAGTTTTATCAGACATTTCTTTCATCTTTTCCCTTTTCATAAGAGCTTCAACTTCTTTGAAACACGCTTCTTGTTTTGACTTTCTAAAATAAAATAAAAGAGAACTAAAATACATTTGAAATAATTAATTATGATATTTAACACAACATGTGATCTTTCAAAATACTTTGTCATTTCATTGAAAATAATGGCAAATAAAAATAATTATAAAACAGTTAAACAACCAAAGGTAATACATACTTGGGTTTTTTCTGTTTCTTTTCTGGCTGCTCCTCTTTTAATTTCTTTTCTTCTTGTTTAACTATTGACAAATAATTATCTGGTGCATTCCAGGTTGTTTCTGTAATCAAATAGTAACAAAGCTTAATTAAAATCAATAAAAAAACAACTTACTATTTAATAAAGTCATAAAAATTGTTTACTTATATAATCTAGTATTTCTTTTGATTTTTTTAAGTTTTTGTGACTTAAATCATTGTATTTAAAAAAAATATCTGTCAGTCCGCAAGCCATGTTTGTTCCGGTTAATCTCTGAAGCAGCTGGGCCGATTTTGACTGGAATTTCACTGAAGGGTAGCTGACATAGACGGTCATACTATAGGCTAGTTTTTATCTTATTATCGCATGGACGAAGTTGCGGACAACAGCTAGTACTTAATAATTATAGTAAGTACAATACAATTACCATTGGTCTTCGTATTCCAGAAATAAGAACTTCCACTGTCACTTTTAATTTCATGCCATTCATATGCTGATTTATCTTTAGTGCTGCAACTCACAGTTATATCAGCAGCACTGCCACCACTCTTCTCCACCATTTCATTAATTACCTTTACAATATAAATAAAATATATACAATTGTAAAACACAAATGATCCAATAAGGTACATAGAAAACTTCTTTGAAAAACACAGTTTATAAAAATGTGCTATTTTGTAGAACAGTAACTACCACTGTCTATGAGACTTGAAATTGATTAACAATTTAGGACTTTAAAAAGATTATCACATAAAATGGACTGACATTTTTATAAATAAGTGAATTTATCATTAAGGGATCTCTTGTCTCTCAGGCCAATAAACCAAGAAACTTACTTTAGATGTCAGGTCTCCATTGTTCTTAACATCTTTTAAGTAAGCAGCCATCGCTGCTGCTTCCATCTTTTTCATTTCATCATCTATCTTTTCCTTTTGCTTAAATTCTTTCGCGCTCTTTTTGCTAAGTTGAGAAATGTGCTTTTGAACATTTTCCTTGTGTCTCTTACCATTCTCATGAAATGATATACACTGTAAAATATGTTTAGGAATGAAACTCTTAAGTAATACAAAAAAGTTAGTATGACAATTCTTAGTCACATACCACTTTACTATCTGCAAACCAACACTTGCAAAATTCACAATATTTGCGAGCCGTCGACTGCCAGTATTCAGTCCTAAAAAAATTTGAAGAATTAAAAAATTGCATGAAGGCCAAAAGTTCGACAAATATCATTCATTAATTTTTTTACATCTTGTAAGTCCTGTTGTTCGCTATTAATGGTGCCAAATAGTGTTATTAGCTGGTGCTATACTATTTACTGGTGTAAACAAAGGAAACATATATATAATTTGCTTTGATGTATAGAAATTTACAACTTATTTTAACAGAACATTACGATAACGATATTATCAACATTCAACGATATATTTTTGGTGTTATTTTGTCACGTATCAAAAGATTTTGTTTTGAAGAGGACAGGGACAGCAAATGACAGTGACAGATTTTTATCTATGTATTGTGCCACCTTTTTGACATTGACAGGATGGCGCCTCTGAGCATTTGGGGTTACAAGCAAGGTAATATGTCCACATTAAAGGGAAATTCTATCCTTTTGAAGACGAAAACGCAAATTGTAAAGGAAGTACTTATACCTTACAATGTAACTAGGAAATGCCCACGACTTCGTTTGTTGGTTAGAAGACTCTTTAGTTAAATAATCTTTGTAGCAAACTTTTAGCAATGCACTCTCTTGAGACAGTTAGCGAAGGAATAGTCTTAACATAATAGGAATTGATTTACTAAGCGCTCATCTACAGAATAATAGAAATCTTAATGATTGTTGTTTACAATCAATACACAGTACAAACTATGTCGTACGCCCCGCGTTGTGATCGAAACGATGCGGTATAAAAACATCAGACAGCCAGTTTCTTGTTATATTTCTGAGTACACACAGTAATTTTCTTATTACGTAAGTAAATATGTATGTTAAAAACCAAAATCCTTGTTAATTTTGTCATGAAGGAAATACTTCCAATTGCACAAAACACATTACAACTAACGGTTCGATCACTGCAATTTGAAAATGAATAGGTAATAAAACAACCATCAGAAAAATATTTATAAGTCAATTATTGTTTAACATTTTTTTTTAAATTACTAAACTAAAATTACATGCGTCCCCTTAAAATTAGGGAATTTCTTGAGTTAACTAATGGTATCACATTTTCGTTACAACAAACACAAGGTGATTCATATTTCCAAATGTAATTACTGGACCCCCTACTTCTTTTCCGCGATAGAAATGTCTTCCATTTTGTAAAAATCCTCTCTGATTCTACTTTTAATGGAATAACATTAAAAAACAACACAAAATGCTGAAAGTAATGACGCGAAGTAAACTGACAAGCTATGTCAATAATACCCTGACATTCGATTGTGACTTTTATTTTTCAACGCTTCCCGGGTGCCAAAAGAATCATGTACATTTATACAAAAATTCTTGACGGGACAGTAGGAATTTCTCAAATGATTATTAACCAAGTCCTGATTCCAAAAGTTCTGATTATTTACAAAAATAATAACATTTTCACCAATATGTGATAATGTAATGGAATTATGTAATGTTATTATTTTTATTTTTATTTCTTATTTATTATTACAAAAGTACCTCAACATGATCTTTTTAAATCTGGGTTGTAAAGGTACAGAACTACCGAAGAACAAATTGCTAATTAGCAACATCGATGTTTTATTTTTAACTGCAAATAAATTTCATAAATTGGCAACACTGTCGCTTGGTTACTTTGTGATGTCGTCGTCGAATATCGAGTGTCGCCGTCTTTTGTAAAGTTTTATCAAGGTGATATTTGTTTATTTTATATTAATAACTTTCGCAACATCCATTTATTACATTCGTTTTAATTTTATTTCTGTTACGCTTTAACTATCAGTATTAACTTCAAGAAATTTTGCTACTGATACCTCCAGTATACGGCCGCCATATTAAATTGGAACATTGAATAGAATATTTATCTTTGCACATCTCGGCAATCTTACTTTATATTTGTTTTCGTAATTTTGGGTTCTATGTGTTTTCTTCCTTATTATACTATCTTACTGTTAGTTTCGATCCGCGACAAAATATAAATTCCTTCCTTGCAGCTGTGCTATAGGTACTTGCTATGTATATATTTTGCTTGTTGACGCGTCTCGTACATAATGACTTTCTGTTGGAATCATAACGATTTGATTTACAGTTACCTTTTTATCTTTTCAGGTATCCCTCGGCTAAGTTGGTGAACGTGAAAAACTTTTCAAGTAGCATATGTATCTAAAAGTGATTTGTCGTAAAATTTGTTTAGTGTTGGACTTGGATAAATATTTGTGATAAGGTTCTAATTTTAGTGACTCCTAGTGGAAGTTTGTTAAAAAATGATGACCGAAAATAGAATTAGTTCAAGTAATCACGTTGGAAACAGTATGAATAACCAGACGAAGGGGTAAGTATATTTGTATTGCATTCATTATTATTATTTAGCTTGTATTTAGTGTTTTTACGCTTATATACTTTTACAGAGATGTAGATAAAACTGTGGAAGACAAAGGATGGAAATCGAAATTAAAAATACCCCCCAAAGACAGAAGAATAAAGACCAGTGTGAGTTGCTCTAAACTACCCTCATTTTTATCATTACTTCCTAGACTAGAATTAGTTTGCTTAATATGATACTGTGTAAATCTAGGATGTGACGGATACAAGAGGTAATGAATTTGAAGAGTTTTGCCTAAAGAGAGAGCTCCTGATGGGTATATTTGAGAAGGGGTGGGAAAAGCCCTCACCTATTCAAGAGGCTGCTATCCCAGTTGCCCTAAGCGGGAAAGATGTACTTGCACGAGCAAAGAATGGAACGGGCAAAACAGGAGCTTATTGTATTCCAGTGTTAGAACAGGTATATATTGTTTAACTATAAGAATTTGCAGTGTCATGCAACAATTATATGATGTAAAAGATATCTATATGAATTGAGAAATATATTTTTTTTATTATTCAACATTAGCATATTTTATCCTAACTTGGTTATGTTCGATAATCTATTTCATAAAAGATAAAATTAAGTGCTGAGAACTGTTTTCACCTATTTTAAAATAACACTCATATTAATAGATATATTGACTTTATTTCGATTAGTTATTTAGATTGACTACATATTTTTATTAATAAAAAAAAATGTGTTAATGTCCTGTTTATATTATGATTGACACTTAAAGTACTTTACACTTTGGTCTAATAATTCTCAAATTTACATTTTGTATTGGAAAAATTATTAACTGAGTATTATGTTTTTTATTGTTTTCTCTGCATTCTTTTATTAGTCTGTTTATATTATAGTACTACTTTTTTGAATTGGATCAATATATTGCTGATAACTTTGTGACTATGATGATATTATTTGGATTCCCCTTCACTTCTCAATAAGTGATAAACCAAAATCTGAGCAATAAGTATAATTCATAAGATATGTATAAATTCTGCATCACAACATACTGATAAGGAACATGTTGCAGGTTGATCCAAAAAAAGATGCAATTCAAGCGTTAGTAGTGGTTCCCACAAGGGAGCTGGCGCTACAGACATCACAGATTTGCATTGAGCTGGCAAAACACACAGATATCCGCGTAATGGTTACCACAGGAGGCACCAACCTTAGGGATGACATTATGCGTATATATCAAAATGGTAAGTACAATGTGAATATTTTTATTAGTAAAAGTATTTGAAATTTTGAAGAAAATATACATACTGATATGTCCAAGATGATAGTCCTAGAAAAATTATCATTTATATAGGATGGTAAATATTGTAATTCAATATTCATGGTAATTTTTTATATTTAACATAATGGATTTTTATTTCCATTGCAATCCAATACATTCAGATATAGCTGATAACCTCAAAATAAATTATGCCAAATTTTTAGTGTTGTCCCTTTAGAAACACACAGGATTATATTATCATTGTCGTAAAGTGTTTATGAGGAATATATGTTCACTGGTCATGCAAAATCCCATAGAATTTTTTTTTAAACAAAAGTAGTAATACTGAAAATGTACTAATTGATTTCAATTTGTTATAGTTCAAGTAATAATTGCTACACCTGGTCGTATGATTGATCTCATGGATAAACAAGTAGCTAAGATGGACCAGTGCAGGATGTTGGTTCTTGATGAAGCAGATAAATTACTGTCACAAGACTTTAAAGGCATGCTGGACATGGTTATTTGTCGGTAAATATGTTTTGAATATTGTCTGTGTATTACATGGAATTCTACAACTGTAAACAAAGTTGTTTATATACAGGAATTTGTAAATAACAATCAAGGAACTTTGTTAAAAAAATATCAGTCACATTTACTATTATATATAAGTTGGCTAGGTGATTATTACATTCACAAATGACCCATTTTAATTATTTGGGGAATAGAATGTTATTTTTAAATATTAATTATTATTATTAAGCCAATATGTTCACCAACTCTGAGATCTAAGCTAAAATATTAAACATATTTTTAGGCTACCCAAGGAACGCCAGATCTTGCTTTTCTCTGCCACATTTCCATTGAGTGTAAAGCAGTTCATGGAGAAGCATCTCAGGGAGCCATATGAAATTAACCTCATGGAAGAGCTTACACTCAAAGGAGTCACACAATACTATGCATTTGTTCAAGAAAGACAAAAAGTGCACTGCTTAAATACACTTTTTTCAAAGGTATGTATGATTATTTACATTACACACATCAAGACTACATGCATATACACTCACATTTTGAGTTTTTTTTACTAGTAGTCTGTTTCTCACTGCTATGTTTTGATTTTATTTCTAACTAGCTTGCTCGTTGTTTAGCGTCTTCGTCCGCGCGGAAATAAAAATTGTAATAAATATAGCTTATGTTATTCAGTGATAACATTAGCTATTTATTGGTGGAAGAAATTTTGAAATCAGCCCATTAGTTTTTGAGTTATTAATACTTTACAATATTAGCATATAAAAGTAATATCAGTGTTCTTGCTTAACAATTGTAACAAGTTTTCAAAATGATATTTGCTTTGTTGCAGCTGCAAATCAATCAATCCATAATATTCTGCAATTCAACTCAGCGCGTGGAGCTGCTGGCTAAGAAAATAACGGAGTTGGGATACTGTTGCTACTACATACACGCGCGCATGGCGCAGGCGCACCGCAACCGCGTGTTCCACGACTTCCGCGCCGGCCTCTGCCGCAATCTGGTGTGCTCCGACCTGTTCACCAGGGGCATAGACGTGCAGGCCGTCAACGTCGTCATCAACTTCGACTTCCCGCGCATGGCCGAGACCTACCTGCACCGCATCGGGCGCTCGGGCCGCTTCGGCCACCTCGGTATCGCGATCAATCTGATCACGTACGAGGACCGGTACACCCTGCACCGCATCGAGCTGGAGCTGAACACGGAGATCAAGCCCATCCCGAAGGTGATCGACCCCGCGCTGTATGTGGCGCGCGCCGACGAGGACGACTCGGCCGAGAAGTAACGCCGCGCCGCCGTGCCCCGCCTCGCACACTAAACACATCTGGACTTGCTGACTGGTGAACTGAATTAGTAGATATAAAAACAAAAACAAAAAACTTATTTGTAAAAAGTGATTTATTGTAACAAAATGTGCGTGTAAATAGTTTATCGTGAAATAAGACTCGATACCCCGAGCGGGTTAACTTTTTTAAAGTGTATATATAAATAAACACGGACTACGGAGGGCATCTCGCGCCCTTTATCCATATTGGAGACTGGGCGCGGTTTCCTACATTGTTGAAACGTAAAATATTTATCTGAATCCTTGCTTTGTGAGTCTATCTAGATTTGTCCATGATCTTAACATAAATTGTGGTAGACTTCCTACATGTGTCCAAGTGTCCTACCCATATTGTAAACGGAGCTAGCACCGGTTTCATTTTACAGAATTATCTTTCCCAAGTGATTGTGTTGTCTGGAGTATGGGTAGGTGAGAAGACTAGCCCAAACAAACATTGATAAATGAGAAAAAAAATAATTCTGTGTCAAAAGCATTGCCTCTGGCCGCTTGAGGCAATGTTTCTTTTCATCAAGCCGCACTTAAATTAAACCTGGCTAAAATAATGATTTGGACTAAATAAGGAATTTGGATTTGTTGATGTAAGATGTATAAATGTGGTTTTCTTTAATGTTTTGGTCGATGATTTTTTTGTTATCTTAGCCAGATTTTAATGTTGCCGATACAAGTCATAGTTGAGTTCTATCTTATAAGCGGTATGTCACAGTGTGGGTATGTGGAGCGTACCATTTCAAGCGAAGCTTAGGTGGGCATTATTTTTGGAGCAAAAGACTATTTTATAGCTAATTTTTCTCAACAACAAGATATATTCTAAAAATACAGATGAAAAAATTACCTTACTTTTGGCCCACCTTAGCTATCGTAATATTTGTTTTTTATCGCCTGTGACCAGTAACGAGGCGGGGCGATGAGGAGACTCTGTCGCGGCTTGCAGATGCGACACATCGCTCCGTCTGGGGGATATCATTTAGAGAGTTTTTGTGTTCCATTATTGCAAAAAACATTCATCACTCTCTGGGGGTTTAATTGTTGGGATGTCAAGTGAAGAGCTACATAATTTTGGCCTTGCCACAGCTTTTTTTTATTTTAATTTTATGTTTTTTAAGTATGTCAACAATACAATTTACATTATTTTTCTTTGTATGTAATATTTGTTCACAATGCATTTAGCATGATAAAATACTTGCATAATAGCCTTTTGTTCCACATTCACAGTTTGGCAGAAGCTGGTAATGTGTGTGTACAATGTTGTTCACTATTCAAATTACCTGAAAAATGTTTGGAGGAGAAATATAAAAATAATATGATTGATGTCGAATTTATTGTAAATCAATTAACTTATTTAAACGATTTGCGTTTATCGAAATCTGTGTTTATCTGTGATAGCTATGATCTAAAGCTGGCATAGTTTGATGAAATTAATAAAATGCCATTCAATAGTTTCGTCTTCCAAAAACAGTATCTTTGTGTAAAGCTTCTAATGTCGGACAACAAAATATAAAAACAAACAAATAAAAAATAAATCTGTTAATTTTAAGCTTTGCACCTTCTTGCGGTGATTATTTTTTTAATCGACATAAATACCCAGTTTCTATATAATTTCTAATAAACATATATTACTACTTCATCCAGCATATCATAGTTTTTTAAATGTAAGTTTTGCAAATCATGCTCTAAAAAATATAAGATAAATGTAATTGCAACACAAGAAATTATCCTGACATATTTTCAGCATATCAGCTGATATTGAAAAGCATGTAACTTCATTTCTTTTTTTAAATCTTTGTAACCTAGTATCAGTCTGTCCCAATGTCTGAGTTAAATTAAAATGAAAGAATGTTTTGTTGCCAAAGTATTTTTTAAAAATGAAACATGGGGAAGTATTTGTAATATATTGTATCAATTTTCAGAAATTTAAAATTATTTGACTTTTAGGTTTTCGATTTAAATTATTGTATTGAAGTTACATGTTACAAAAATTCAGGACTTTGAGGTGTCGAATAAATTTCTTTTATATAACTGTTTTCTTTTCTCAAAAAATATATCGATGTTAAAAATGGGCCAAAATAAACTCTTCACACCAACTTTTTTTATTATTTCCTGTCTTGACCATCTACCAACCAGATGTCTTACCAGTCTTAGCTAACCAAATGTATTCAAAAGGTGCTTAGTACCAATTAAATGGTAAGGTATGAATTAATATTAAGCTCCGCGATGCGACTGTATATTGTGAATTGCGTCGGGATTTTGTAGCGTCAGTTAATACTTTTGATAATGGCGTTATCGAACGCTTCCGCTGCGTGTACCACATTGTAAGTGCAGCGCGTTATCGCGAGGTCGCCACCCAACATGGCTAGTATTTTTAGCACAGCTTGACTGGAGCGGTTTGATAACGATTCTACTATAAAAAAAGTATTGTTATTTTTGAAGATCCGTATAGCATATAACAGTTTTGAAAATACTAATTCGAATCTATTCACTATACAAATTCAAATGCATAGTGATGTTTATACGTAGGTTTCCTACATTTTTACCAAAACGATTGACAATTAAACGTATAGTAATGTAATTGATTTAAATTCAAGCAGGTGATAAAAGGGGAAAGAAAAGAAATTGTAAAATATAACTTATTTAATACAAGTACGTATTCAGTCATTAATGTATAAGTACATAGGATATATAGTTAATCTGCTGTAAGCAGAATTATCAAAAATGATCGCTTGGATTCATTCCAACAAATTTAATGAAAATTTACGAAAATCATTTGAAAACTATATAAAAGGCGGATTAAGTTTTATAAAATAACAGGTACAGTAAGTGTTTTTTCGGATACAAATTGACGGATTACATTCACTTACTCTACATTACTTTTTATGGCATACATTGGTGAATAAATACAGCACAGAGGTATACAATAAAATTATTGTCAGAGATAGAAGTAAAATGCTTCATAAAATCGGACATTTTACACATTTTAACAAAGGTACAATACATGATTGTATATCTAATCACGAGTTTGCACTGAGGAGACATCTTAACAAAATGTGTTTTTTTATGGAGAATGAGAGGAAGAAATCTAACAATAGTTTCGGCAGTGTAAATCAACGTAATATTTAAAACATATCCTTATATTTCAATGCGATGTCAAAGAAGGAATAATGTAAATATTGAAAAAACACTGCGATTACTAAATATTATGTTAGGAATACGAAATACATAATCTATGTCGTTTTCTTACATTAACATAAAAATAAAGGTTGGAAGAGCTATCTAGTTCTATTTAGAATACTTTGTTATCTAATAAAATAATACCAAAACAAAAAAGGAAATTACTTGAAAGACAATGAGTAGGTTTTTGTCAATTATATATCTTTAACAAACATTTATGAGCTTAACTTGTATTTCAAATTTTAACAGTCGTAATGAGGGTAGCAGTTTCGCAATTTCTAAAATATTCGCTTTTGTTGTAATAACGTTATAGTATATTAAAAGTAATGATGGTGGGTTGTGGAATATATTTCATTTCAGGTCCCTATTGCAAACAGTAAATCATACTGAAAAAGTTATAAATAAACATAGAAAACGGTACAAACACAAATATTTTTCACTGGAATTTCAAGCGTGGAAGCGTTGTTCATAATCGTTTTTCTAAGAACTAACGCATAGATAAAAAAACTGACAAGACACGTTAAGTATTCATTTAAGAAGCATAAACATTACATATGCTTTTAAATTAAAAAAGCTGCCTCATTTTACATAAACCTCAAAGGTTTTCAATTACATACTTTTATGTTAAAAGGTTGATAAAAGGTTAAATTATATTAAAGGAAAATAAATAAGTAATAAAAATCTATATGATATGTCACTATAACTATCTCTAATTAGGATATATATTAAGTACAATTTTTTAAGAGCTATCTAATGCAAGCTTTGAAAAAACATAAAACAAGCTCTTTTATCGCTACATCAGAGAGAAATATCTATAAAGACAAAGTCGTTGATATCTACCAATAATGATAGCTTATATAACATTTGAGATAACTACATCGCTGAAATCTTTATTATGTCAATACGCCTTTTAAAAAAAATCTACTATATCACAAGGAAATAAAACAAGCTTCAAATACGGCGTTAGGGAGTAAAGTGTTACAAAATTATTAAAATTAATCTTATAAAATATCTTTTTTTTAAATAAAAATTCGAAAGTTTATCAAAGCACTTACGCATAATTAATACAAGAAATAAGCACTGGTTACAAAAAGTTATTTTTAATAAAAATTGGACGAACATTATTAATTCCCTGTCCTTTAAATTTGTTACGAAAATAAAAATAAAAATACAACTTATTTTAGGGGATATTACAACTATTGTCATTTTAGACTCACGTTTCTTTATTCGAACTGGGGTAAACAGAGAATAAACACTTCATGTCAAGTCTCAATTTTTTTATGGTGTTTATATGTATTTCGTAATAATAATTATAACTTACGAGTTATCACAATTTTATTATTATTTACTATGTAATTCTATAGTAAATAATAATAAATCCGCTCGCATTTCATTTGTTGTTATAATTTTAGAAAAACTTGTTGCGGAAGTCCTTGTCCTTTACTTGTAGGTCAAATAACGAACTATACTTTCGCGATGATGGCACGTTCTCTACTCTCAACATTAAAACCAGTAACCGCTTTAATTCACTGGACTGGCCATTATTGCCTATTTAATTTTCGCCATTTTAGCGACGATTGTATGGACATTTCGAACTAACATAGATAGAATTAACTGTCAGTTTATACTGGGAATCAAGTAAAAGATGTTATTTCCGAGCAAGACCTATTCAGTGGGTTCTTTAAAGATCAGTGTTTAAAAAAAAACACGCTTTTACTTATCATAAAGCTAGATTAAAACATCACACATTTTACACACTTTTTTCTTCGAATTACCTAAACAAGTATGAGCACGTTAGTCACAAGTAGGTGGGAATTATCTAAAAATCGTTGGTTACGTGCAAACATCAAATTATTATTACAAAGTAATTTTATTAAATATGTTTGGATAGTTTGCTCAATATCATCGCCAATACTGTATATTGCATTTTAAAAGAAAAAAATATAAAAATCGCTTTATTGGGAGATCATTGCCAGCCATCATCGGCCGTGAAGGAAGAAAGCGAACTTGGATTATTCCCAACCGTCACCCCGCTCTGTCCCCACGTGGGGATAACTGAGAATAAAATTTTTATCCGTCCCACCTTTTGCGACGAGGAATCTTATTTCGTTAGACGTTGACGTTAAACGTTAGACGTTAGACGTTGGATCTTATTTTATTTCATAACGGTTCCATCTGTCACCTTATTGGTGATAGTGGGACTAAAAGTGGCATGGATGAAACTTTTTATCTCACATGGGGACAGAGCGGGGTGACGGTTGAAAATAATCCGCGAACTTGTAGCACATGTAAAATTAAAACAAAACATAGCTGCGATTCCTTAATCCAATGCACAACATTTATCAACAAGACAAAGGAATACAATTGTAGTAAAAGATACATTTGCGATTATATTAGTTTAGAGGTGAGAGACAGAGCATGTGTCTGCAATGCTATTCGATGGCGAGGGTGTCGAGCAGCAGGTCTGGCGGCGGCTGCAGGCCGGGCTGCAGCGTGACGGCGACGCCGCGGTTCAGCGACACGGCCGGGTAGAACGCGCCGCGCAGACCCGTGAACGCGATGTCGCCCTGCAACAATGTGTCAATTCAACAATCTATATCTATACTAATAAATATAATAACAGTGTGTGAGTTATGTAGGATGTCAAAATTAAAAGTATATTTTTGAATAATTCTTTTATTTTTACAAAAAATCCCTACTTTCGGCGCGCTTAAGGCTACATATTTTAACGATATTAAACTTTAGGGGTCAATAAATTGGAACAAACCATCATGAAAAAGGGGCAAAATCTATAATTCTAATAGCAACAAAGCATGGTTACTCACAACCAATTCTCAGCCAACGTCAAGAGCTTTGGCTGTCATTGAAGTATTTAAATTTAACATTTGCAATTGATTTTTTAAGAAATGTAAACAATAACGTACAGTTTTTAAAATGTAACGTAGATAAAGGCGTATGTACCGTACTGTGCAGTACTGTGCGGCCGTGTGTGGTAGTGTACGGTACTATGCGGCAGTGTGCGCCA